TATTACCAACAAGAAACCCCATCACACTGGGGTCTAAACCCCAAAATGACCCTATGGCTTATACACCTGTGTCCTAAGACCAATATTGACATATGGGTCGGTGGTGTGATGGACCAAAACTCTTCAGGCCAAAGCAATAACCCAAAGACAAGCGTGTCTCAGTGTCACTGGTGCCTTAAGCACAATGCCAATTGTGCCCTAGAAGTTTTGTTAAACCTTCCACCATTTCACATTTTAATCCAAGGAAAAGCCAGAACATCAGCCCACAGGCTCATAAATGGACAACCATCTGCTAGGATAGGCCATGTGAATAAACAATGGAAACAGAGGGGGGAGATACAGGCAGATGCCATCCTAGGTATGCCAATTGATGCCACTACTCCAAAGTACAACTTCACCAAGAAGTACAAAGTACTGATACCAGAACGGGAAGAATGGGCCAAGGGAACACCACTAAAGGCAAATTCGTACTGGTATACGGACAGCTCCAAAACCGACAAGGGTACAGGAGCTGGGGTCTTTGGGATGAACCCCAAGACCAAACTGACGGTAAACATAGGCAAGTATGCTATGGTTTTCCAGGCTGAAATCATAGCGATTGAACAATGTGCCGGAGAAATAAAAAGGCTAGAAATACATTGCCGGAAGACAGCCATTTTCTCTGACAGCCAGGCAGCTCTCAGGGCCTTAGCCTCATGCAAGGCGAAGGCAAAGAGTGTTTGGAAATGCCTAGAGGCCCTAATAGAAGTCAGTAACACTAATGACCTGATCTTGCCATGGGTCCCTGGACAATCGGGGCATAGAGGCAATGAAAATGTTGACATGTTGGCCAAAAAGGGAGCCAAAATGGACTCTATGGGCCCAGAACCCTATTGCAGCCTAGCAGCCTGCACAACAGAGGATACATCTTAAAATGGATCCTTAATGATTGCAAAACCTGGTGGAACAATACCACAGGTATGAGGCATATGCAAAGAGCTTCATAGAAGGAAACTTACAAAAGAATTACTGGAAGGCAACCGCAACCGAACCAGGATTCTGGTTGGACTCCTGACAGGACATGCCACTTAAGAAAGCAATGCACCAGATAGGAGTACAGACAGAAGAAACACCGAGCAGATACTGACAGGCCATTTCCTATGGATATCGATATTTTATGTATATTAGGTAATATATTTCATTGGAATAGATTGAATAAACGGTTTATAATAAAAGAAATTAATACAACAATGAAAATGCACTGAAAGTAGCAGATCCACAAAAGCTAAAACTAAGCGATTCGTCCACTTTTTGCCATTTTCCAGGGTTATGATTCATTTGTTTCGAATGGTCTGAATAAACATTTCCTAACAAAAGATCAGAAAAAAAGTTAAAATGTACAGAAAATGGCAGATCCACAAAACCTAAAACTGGGCGGCAGTTCAACCCTTTTAGCCATTTCTATGGATATCTACTTTTTATATGATCTATTTGTTTGGAATAATCTAAATAAACAGTTCATAGCAAACAAAATGAATAGAAAGTTGAAATCGTAACAAAAATGGGAGATGCACAAAGGCAAAAACTGGGTGATTCAGTGCCTTTTTGCCATTTCCTATAGATATCGATATTTTATGTATATTAGGTAATATATTTCATTGGAATAGACTGAATAAACGGTTTATAATAAAAGAAATTAATACAACAATGAAACTGCACTGAAATTGGCAGATCCACAAAACGTAAAACAGGGCGATTTACCCTTTTTGGCAATTTTCTATGGATATCCATATTTTATGTGATTTATTAATTTGGAATAATGTAAATTATCAGTTCATAACAAAAGAAATGAAGGGAAAGTTGGAATTGTTCAGAAAATAGTACATCCCCAAAAGCTAAAACTGGGCGATTCAACACCTTTTTGCCATTTCCTATGGATAACGAAATTTTATGTTTATTGGTAATATATTTCTATGGAATAGACTAAATAAACGGTTTATAATAAAAGAAATTAATACAATAATGAAAATACACTGAAAGTGGCAAATCTATGAAAGCCAAAACTAAATGATTCGTCCACTTTTTGCCATTTTCCAGGGTTATGATTCATTTGTTTCGAATGGTCTGAATAAACATTTTCTAACAAAAGACATGAAAAAAAAGTTGAAATCATACAGAAAATGGCAGATCCACAAAAGCTAAAAATCGGCTATTAACCCATTTTTTGTTAGTTCGTATGGATATCATATTTTATATATACTAGGTAATATGTTTCTTGGAATAGACTGAATAAACTGTTCATAATAAAATAAATTAATACAGCAATGAAAATGTACTGAAATTGGCACAATGCCAAAACGTAGAACAGGGCGATTCGCCCCTTTTATCCATTTCCTATGGATATCCATATTTTATGTAATCTATTAGTTTGGGATAATCTAAATAAACAGTTCATAGCAAACGAAATGAATAGAAAGTTGAAATCATACTGAAAATGGGAGATGCACAAAGGCAAAAACTGGGCGATTCAGCGCCTTTTTGCCATTTCCTATGGATATCGATATTTTATGTATATGGGGTAATATATTTCATTGGAATAGACTGAATAAACGGTTTATAATAAAATAAATAATTTTTTTTTATTGGCCTTATGATCTTGCATATTAGCCATAGTACAAATTCTTGTGTTTTCAAATTGGGGGTTATCAGGAAAAAAGGGCCAGAGGCGACGGTGGGAATCGAACCCACGACCGCGGCGTGAGAGTCTCTCATGCAAACCACTCGGCTACCGCGGTCCCCTGAAATAAATAAAATCTGCACTGAAAGTGGCAGATCCACAAAAGCTAAAACTGGGCTATTAACCATTTTTTGCCAGTTCGTATGGATATCATATTTTACATATACTAGGTAATATGTTTCTTGGAATAGACTGAATAAACTGTTCATAATAAAGTAAATTAATACAACAATGAAAATGTACTGAAATTGGCACAATGGCAAAACGTAGAACAGGGCGATTCGCCCCTTTTATCCATTTCCTATGGATATCCATATTTTATGTGATCTATTAGTTTGGGATAATGTAAATAAACCGATCATAACAAATGAAACGAATAGAAAGTTGTAATTGTACTGAAATTGGCATATCCTCAAAAGCTAAAACTAGGCGATTCGTCCCATTTAACCATTTTTGCTGGATATCCATATTTTATGTATATTACATAATACATTTCTTTGGAATAGACTGACAGAAATAAACAGTTAATAACAGAAGAAATGAATATCAAACAGAAAAAGTACTGAAATTGGCTCACACGCAAAACGTAAAACAGAGCAATTTGCCCCTTTTGCCATTTTCTGGATATATCCATATTTTATGTGATCTATTACTTTGGAATAATGGAAATAATCAGTTCGTAACAAAAGATATAATTGTACCGAAAAAGGGAAATTCACAAAAGCAAAAACTGAGCAATTCCCCCCTTTTAACCATTTTCCATGGATATCTATATTTTATGTATAGGTAATATATTTCTTTGGAATAGACTGAAAAAAAGAAATTAATATCAAATAGAAAAAATACTGAAATTGGCACAACGGGAAAACGTAAAACAGGGCGATTTACCCTTTCTGGCAATTTTCTATGGATATACATATTTTATGTGATTTATTAGTTTGGAATAATGTAAATTAACAGTTCATAACAAAAGAAATGAAGGGAAAGTTGAAATTGTTCTGAAAATAGCACATCCCCAAAAGCTAAAACTGGACGATTCAGCGCCTTTTTGCCATTTCCTATGGATATTGAAATTTTATGTTTATTAGGTAAAATATTTCTATATATAGACTGAATAAACAGGTAATAACAGAAGAAATGCATATCAAATAGAAAAAGTACTGAAATTGGCACACACACAAAATGTAAAACAGGGTGATTTGCCCCTTCTAGCCTTTTTCTGTATATAACAATATTTTATGAGATCTATCTGTTTTGAATAGTCTAAATAAACAGTTCATAACAAAAGCAATGAATAGAAAGTTGAAAATGTACTGAAAATAGCACATCCCCAAAAGTTAAAACTGACGATTCAGCCCATTTTTGCTATTTCCTATGAATATCCATATTTTATGTGATCTATTTGTTTGGAATAATCTAAATAAACAGTTCTTAAGAAAAGAAATAGAAAGTTTCTTTTATATCTTATCAAACTCAGAACAAATTTCTCCACTGAGCTTAAGGCACCAATATTACCTCAGGTCTGGTATCACAGAATCCGTGACACTAACATACCAAAGCATCAACTATTGAAAGAAAAATGATGTGAAAACGGCTTAATCTCAATTTAAAAATGAGGCAGTGAAACCATTGCAATCGCGGAAAGTAAAATTCTCAAGTTGAATTACAACTCACACCTGTGTACGTACAGAATACAATAACTTTTCTAGCACGTCCAACACTTAAATTGTACAACCACCTGGAAATACACATACATAATAATTCCTTAAATTCACTAATTTCGTGGTCCGCTTGACCAATTAATATATTACAATTAATTAAGGTTTTTAGTTGAGATAAAAAAGCCGAGATTTGTCGCCGAGGATCCAATCCGATTACACGACAATTGAAAAATGGCAAAAAGGAGGGAAAATTTAAAAAAGGTGGGGTTGAGATAACAAGTTGATGTCCAAGTGGATCAAGGTCACGATAGCTCAAGTGGTAGAGCAGCGGCGTATTGAGCCGAAGATCGTGGGTTCGAATCCCGCTCGTGCCATTGACTTTTTTATCTCAACTAAAAACCTTAATTAATTGTAATACATAATAATTTTAAAATAAATAGTTTCATACACACAAAAAAACTTAATGGATTAGTTATAAACTAGATTATGATCAATTTAAAATTAAAAATGGTTATTATTAAATTGTAACATACAAAAAAATTTAAATGTTGATTTGAATAAATTAACACAATTTTAAAATTAATTTCTATTTGAAATTACAGGTTGTACAAAAGAGCCATTAATACACCATCAGTCAACAATGTTAGTTTATTTTGACTAATATTATGTTAAAGAAAGATATATACAATAAAAAGTATACACACTAACTATACAACACAAGTGCTTAGAATAAAAATAAATATTCTTCACAAAACATATAAATTTCATAAAGGAAATCTAAATTTCTATACAAATTACTTACTTTAAAGGCACAATGAAAACAGTACAAAATAATGTTAATTATAATTTATCGAACTTTTTGTCTTGGAGTCGATCAACGACTCTTGTGGAAGGTCCAGTTTGCTAATCTAAAAAAAAAATCAGGAATGACCCAACTTGGAATGTCAAAACTATTCCAGTTATTAACCTGCCTCGACATAATTTACAGAATAATTCATATTAGAGAGACGTACAAGTTGAACACAAGGCAAACGACTTGCCAATGTTTAAAGATATGTATAAAATTTCACCTACAACCTGACAAAACTGTTTTATCCTTAAGTAATCAAATTGCAAAGTCCATACGGTTGTTAGATTCATAAGAAAAAATGGATACTATTGGATTTTAACATTTTACATAGAAAGCGTTTTTGTGTATAAAAGTCTAATAACTTGTTTAAAGCACAAACTGAAATTGGTATTTGAATGTTGTATGAATTTACAACTTTTTTTTTATTCACTGTTTCATACTATTCAATGTTAACTGAACTGCTAAGCCAAACTAGTGTAGTTTTCATTCAGATAGTTAAAATTTATAAATTAAATTTAGCCTTAAAATAATCTAAATGTTGCTTTTATTGAATTGTTCAGATCAAAGTTCCACCATCCTTTCTTAAAACACATTAACCAAAATGCCAATATTTTTTTCTTCTCTAAGTTTGATGATGTATAAGAAGGACGGAGTCTCTTTATTCTCTAATTTGACTATGTCCACAATAAATAATACACATTAAAAAAAAAACAAAGAGATTATTAAATAGATTGTCATGTTGTGGATAACAGATTTATATACTGAAACAAAATAAGACATATAAACCATCGCTTCTTTTTTCGCATTAGTAATTATAACATTAGTCATTAGGAAGAAAACAATTCTATAAATCTCAACGGAAGGGCAAGCCTAAAGTTGTATCTAATTTGAAAGCATCCGACACAGCCCTTAAAGAACAAAAAATCATTGGATTTTTATTAATCATTGAATAATTTGACGGGGGATCCATTTTAATTATAAATGTACTTTGAAAATAAATGTATTTTGATTAAATTAAACATATTAAAGCCTTGATGATAATTTTCATTCAAAACTTTGAATTGAACAGTTGATGCAGAGACATCTTTATTTAAACGTATATTAAGCCTGATAAATGCAATTTGGTCAATTTTGGTTAAACTGTTGAACAAAAGCACAGAAAACACTGTTCTTTTAAATATGATCTTACCAAAATGGAACAAATTTCTTTATAAAACAAGCAATTATGGAAATTCGACTTTAAAGCAAGCCCAAACTAGACATAAAAAAGAACAATTCAAACCGAAGTAAAAAACAGATAATTTTACCAATAGTGCAATGAATTTCGTACAAGAAAATGTATGAAGAGTAAAAGTGTAAAAATGGAAGCTCTTAAAATTGTAGTGCTAAGTATCTAATACCAACTCAGATAATACAGGCAGTGATTATCTTATTATTATCATGGCGAAACACAGAAGCAAAGATTTTAACATAACAGCAGCACTAAAAACATTCATCGGAAAACTCACTTTTGTACTTTTAACATCCACATTAAAATTGTACTGACTAACAATATATATATATATATATAAACTCTCTGCCAACATCAATAAACAAACAATATTCAACATTCATTATTTTTACAATAAAATATATATATATGTGTGTATATATATAATTATGCTTTTTTTATATATTAGAATATTAAAAGTTTTAAATACAATAAAAAGGTAAATATTACAATCAAAATTCACATTGTAACATGTTAGTTATGTGCAGTCTACCCACTTGGTACAAACTAGTCACCACTGTGTAAAAATAAGTAAATTGTAACTAAGTTTATTATTCTATGTTTACACAATTACAAGTAAAATTTAATTGTTCAATAAGTGAGAAATTAAATATATCACATTCCTATGAATCACTAAACAAGCTTATTTATTTTTAATTAATATTTTTAACCATTTTCCCTCGATAAATATTATATTTATAATTTCCATTTGATCAGTTTGAATCAAACGACAAGATTTCAACAATAAATAAAATTTGAATTCTCCAAATAAGAATATTGTTGGAAAAATAAATACATTTGATATTGTACATTTTGAAGCTAGTGAGAGCCCATCTCGGAAAAGACACGTTTCCGCAAGAAAGGCAATTTTCTTCTTCCGATAGGAGTAACAAATGCAATATTGCACTCGATGCATTATTATCTAAACACTTATAATAAAGAATACAAAAAAAACTATGGCAAATATAAATAAAACCAACGTAAATGCACCCAAATAAACAAAAGTGTAGATAATTAAAAAAATTATTTAAAAAAATATATAAAATTAATAGTCTCATAACTAAACTCTCTTGGACTAGCCACTGTTGTCAGATTTGATAAAAAAAAAAACTAAAAAAATCACAAATAATGAACATAATTGAAGTATTAAATAATTGTAAAAGGTTCTTTTACCTAAATAACACATCAATGCTGATCATTATTTTAGATTTGAACTGATCACATTATTCCCATAGAGATAATCATCGAAGAAGTAAAAAAATTCAAAATAGACAATACGTGTAAAAATTGCGATCTGTTGAGAAGTTGAAATTCTAAATGAATCGATGACTAGATCACAAAAACTTTATTTACAATGGGAAAAAAATATTCAAATTATTCACAATCTACTCTGTACAAAAAGCTCTACTTTATCATGTACTGTTAAACATCACAATTTCATTTTACACAGGTATGAAGATTGCTTTTAAATATTTGCACAATAAAAAGTTAATTTTTTTTTGTTTTTGTTAAATAAAAGCTCAAATTTGCAAAAAAGAAAAGTTTGTTATGTACAAAAAATTTTTCTAAGGCTTTACAAACACCTTATATAAAATCGGAAAAAAGTTTTAAGCGCAAATTCCTTACAATTCGTTGCTAAACTTCCTACAATCTTAATAACAAACATGTTTCTAATGTATTCTCTTCTTTTTTTATTTTTTTTTTGTACCTAATGAGTAAAAAAAATATATCTTCATTTGTGTTCGTTTTTAAGTATTTGAATGTAATACTCTTAGAATTGACAGTTTTTTTGCAGTATTAATTTTCCTTTTTCGCCGATTTAAAATTATTAATGAAATACTATTTTGTATTCTATGCTAGGTCCCTTGTATTTGATTAAGTGTTCGCACAAAACTATAATCTGGTTCTTTATCTCTACACCCCATAATTTTCATATTGTTAAAAGAAATAATACAAAGTCCAAAGCCCCTATTGTTTGTTTGATACGAAAACAAAAAACAACGCCATCACGGCGTTCTTTGGAAGACTTAAGCAACTATACAAATTAAATAATCTAAGCCCATTCGATACTTTGAAAGATCGTAAAATTTCTAAATTACAAACGACTAAACTATGGAAGGCTGAAATCACACAATTTCTACAGAAGAGGCTTAAAAGCATCCGCTTTCTGTGGAAGTAAAGCCACATTAGAATTTTTGTTTGTCAATTTACATTTATTATTTTTTTAAACTAGTGAGGAAAATTCACCTTTCGACATAATTCATTAATTTTTCATTTCGTTTTTTGTTTTTAATAAAATTTTGTTGACATCATCCAAAGTGAGAAGCACAATTTGTATCTTCCTTACCTTGGATATATCTATATAATATATCCTTCACAGACAAAAATTAAATATATTTATTTTAAGGTAGAAAAAACATTATAAATACTATTATAATATTTAAAAAAAAGAAAACACTTCTCGAGCTTATGTTGAACTTTTTACACTATGTGGTGTTCTCAAATCACATTTAATAAACCAGCTTTTAATTTATTATTGTAATTGTACATATTATAAGTGAAAAAAATAAATATTGAACGAACTGAAAATTCAGCACAGCTCGAAGATAACACCAATAAAAATTTTTAAATTAAACAGAAAGTCATGTCTCAGATAGCTATAAAAGTATTTAACAATTATTAATTGCTTATCTTTCATCTAAATTTGACGACACAATGAAAACATTCATGAGTAGACTACACAAAAAGGAAGAAATTACGGTTTATAATTATACCCGGGAAGAAAAATCAAACAGAAGACCTCTGGAAGCTCTTAAACAGCAACTGCAGGGTCAGGGTTACGAAATAGAAACTGGAAGGCAACGTATATTATATAGACATACCTGAAAAGTTAATTTCGACAAATTATTATTTATTGATTTTTTTTCACAACTCGATAATTAACAATTACAAAAGTTATTCTACTCAGCGATGCATGCAAAATGATTAACCGAACAAGACAATACCGCATTCCAAAATGAAATTTTACCTTCAAAGTTTAAAAGACAAAATTTATGGCATATTACAAACAACAATTTAAAAGAAAAACACTGATTGACAAATTTAACGCACCACTCAATTTATTTAGTTTAAAATTAAATCCATTATCTTTCTACATTAATTAGGAGCTTTAGTAGTATTTAAAAAAAAATAATAATAATAATAATTGCTTTGTTTAGTTTTTTTTATTTAGTTACTGAACTGATTAATCTCATTTGCACAAAAAGAAGCATTATGCCAAAAATCGCTTTCAGTTAATCTTTTTCCTTTGTGGATTTCATTTGATATTACTTTTATTATTATTTTTATGTAAGGTCTTGGTTGAAATGACCTTCAGGTTCAACCAAGACCTTACAAAAAATAATTATTAACTGAAAGAAGTAATTTGATCAACAGACCACTAAACATAATGGATTATTTTTATTCTTAAACCTTTTTCAATCACTCCAGTCAAGCATTTCAACGAATTTAATAATGTCAGGGTCATAATATTATTAGAGGAAGGATACAGCCAGTGCGAAGTCGCTAGGAGTGTAAATCACTCTACAGGAGGAAGAGTTCTTCCGTGCTTTGGAGAAACAGGGCTGCACACTAGAAGGCTAGGACTGGGTCGACCTAGGTCAACAGACCAGAGAGATGATAGACTCAACCGTCGTCAAGTTCTACAAAACTGCAGCATGATGGGAAATGAGGTAAGATATCTGATATAGTCCAAAAGGTTTCTATTTTATCCAGGACTGTAAGAAGAAGGTTCAATGAAAATAACCTCAGGGTCTGCCACCCAGATTGTGGACCTCTTCTTACCATTGTGTAAGCCGGCCCCCGTCTTAGCGATAAGTTAAATTGTAAAATAAGAACAAAATAGGTAGACGAGGAAAAGGGACAAAGGTTGTACTTTGAAGGGGCGGCCGCCCAGACGGGAACGACATGACACATCTGGCAAATGCAGCTTGAAAATGGTTACCCACGTAGACAGGTAAGAACGTCGAATTGTGAGGCAGAACCAGACTGGAACGATGTGACACATTTGGCAAATGAAGCTTGGAAATGGTTACCCAGGTAGAAAGTTAGGTAACAGGGGACATCGTAAATTGGGACTACGTCAATCCTGTGCTAGACCACCGTCTTTGCCGGCCCAGCCGCGGCATGAGAACTCCCCCGACTTTTGAGTTTCCTTTCCACCCCTACTCCGGGAGAGACCCGGTAAAAAAGGGATGACTGGAAAATCAAAAGTCAGTCAAGATACAAGACTCACCCCAGTCAAAGACCCAGCCGAGACTCACCCCAGGCAGTCAAGACCAAGGACCGGGAGAGAAGCAGCCACACTCCGTCTGGGATTCAACAAGAGGACTCAGCCAGCCAGAGCCAGTGAGGACCAGCCATTGCGACCAATTGAGCCAAGTCAGAGGTCGAGAGAAGAGATGCTGTGGACACTGATCGTGGCGAGCATCATTTGGGGTAAGTCCATTTGTTGATAGACTCATCCCAGATTTAGAGTTGTGGCTGACTTGTAGATTAATTAATTAGCAATTAGGGTACTATTAAGAGAAAGACTTGTGTACAATAAATGTTACTGAATACTGTCTCTGGTTTATTGAATTCTGGAACCTTACTGTCCCCTACACAAGAATAAGTAGCAACACGCTCACGCCGACTAATCTCTTGTGCTTGAAAAGCAAGCAAATATCGAGAGATAATTCGGCCGCTGCGCCGTCGTCCGCTTGCAATAGCTTAGAAAATGGCCAGGCTTCAATTCGCACGAGAACATGTGAATTGGATGATGTAAAATTGGGAAAGCGTTCTCTTTAAAGATGAGGTGAAAGTTGGCCTCAAATCTTCAGATGGGAGTAATTTCTTATGGAGACACTCGAGAGAAAGTTATGCCCAATGTTGTACGGTCCTAAGGTAGCATTCCACGATTCCATTGATATTCTGGGGTGGCATTTCCTTAGACACATGCAAAGAATTTGTTGTTGTGTGAGGGAGATCTCTAACTTCACAGTACTTACGAGACATAACCAAAGAACATGTAGTGCCATTTGCCCCCATACTGGTGAGATTCTTGCTAATTCAGGGTAATGCCAGGCCCCATAGAGGGCATATTGTGGATGTCTACCTGAATGAGTTTGGAGATGAGTGCTTGGCATGGCCAACTCGAAGTTGAGATTTGAACCCGATCGAACACATTTCAGACCGACTTGAACGATGACTAGGTCCTAACACCCCAGAAGAGTTGGAAACACCTGTTCTTGATGAATGAGAAAGAATTCCTCAGGATTTTACTAGGAATATTTTTCAAGGAATGCAAAGGTATTTATCGTTCTGAAGAGTGATTTAAATTCAACCTCATGGTGAATTGCGCTGGCTATATCCTTTCTCATGTAACTTTCATGATTCATGCCAGAGGTGTAAATATCGGTATTAAAAGGGACAAAAAAGAACTTTTTTTTTTCATTTTTATTTGGTTTTTATTTTTATATGGAAATCCAAATATCCATTAATAAACGTTCACTAAATACCACACGTTTTGATTTTTTTTACTAATTTTTTTTAAAATGACAATTAATTAAGGTTTTTAGTTGAGATAAAAAAGTCAAGGGCACGAGCAGGATTCGAACCCACGATCTTCGTCGGCTTGATACGCCGCTGCTCTACCACTTGAGCTATCGTGACCTCGATCCACTCGGACACCAACTTCCCATCTCAACCGCACCTTTTGAATTTTCCCTCCTTTTTGCCATTTTTCAAATGTCGTGTAATCGGATTGGATTCTCGACGACAAATGAAATGGCCACGGAGAGCTTTAGTGAAGTATACTTCATTCCAAATCATTAAATTCCCTAATTTTGTGGGCCGCTTGACCAATTAATATATTATAATTAATTAAGGTTTTTAGGTGAGATAAAAAATGGCAAAAAGGAGGGAAAATTCAAAAGGTGCGGTTGAGATGGGAAGTTGGTGTCCGAGTGGATCGAGGTCACGATAGCTCAAGTGGTAGAGCAGCGGCGTATCAAGCCGACGAAGATCGTGGGTTTGAATCCCGCTCGTGCCATTGACTTTTTTATCTCACCTAAAAACTTAATTAATTATAATATATTAATTGGTCAAGCGGACCACGAAATTAGTGAACAAACGATAGACTCTAGTTTCTACCATGTCCACTGAATTAACCTTTTACATATTCAGTTTCCACCTATTTCTCAAAAAATGACTTTTGTGAAGAAAAAAATTCATGACATTGTAGGACTTTTACACTCAAAGCCCAAGGACCAGTATTGTCAGGAGATTGAGCAGCTTTTCATACAATTAAAGTTAAATTTTTGGAAACATGAAATAATTTTAATTTTTACAATGATCTTTTTTTTATTCACCCTAACATTAAGCATTCGCATAGCTATTTTTTAATGGTAAATAAGCAAAAACTTGTTTCTTTTGAAGTACACCTAACATGTGTTAATGTTATCATTATATAGTGCAATGCCGACACCTGGACATTAACAATGACACAAATTGTCAGACAACAGACAATTTTGAATGTAATAATACTTAACATAGTGGCTTCCAACTGATTTTGGAATTAACCTTTGAATTAAGCAAACTGTCATTCTTTTATTTTTTTTTTCCACAAGAGAAAGCGAGCAGTTCAAAAATAATTATAGACATTTAGACTGTTAATACCATCAACCATCCCTGTCAACAGAATAAACTGATTAGCCGCCTTGAGCACAAATGAAGGGTAAAAGGTTTTTCTAAACCAATCAGAGCATGCTAGACGTGCAAAATTGGCACTGAAGCACCCAAAGTTTCTCTACTCACCCAAGGTAAAAGTGGAGTCAGTCATCAGTTCTTGGGTCATGGTGATGAACGGGCCGGGAAGGAGGCGATTTGTAAAAGTACACCTGGCCCAGAATAGTGATGTCTATGAGGACCTGTAGCCCCCCACATAACCAGAACTGAGCAGGTGCTTCCCTCAGCACGAAATACGTCGTCTTAAATACATCACCGACTGTCCACATTAGCACCATCAGGATACTTACATAACATAATCATTGTTTTTCACATACAATTTATTGCTGTTTTCAATTCTGTTTAGAGATTGAACATCTCACTTACCTCATTCCTTCTGTCGATCGTTGTTTGAAGTTCCTGATGAGCTGAGGAACGGCAAGCATGGCCTCGAGGAAAAGGGCCATGAATCCAAGGATCTCTACGTATATCACAGAGTCAAGAAGAAGAAAGGTTAAGAGAGACATAACTAGGCTAACTATTAGCACAAAATCTACATATGACTGGAAGTCTGTCCACGCCCAGAAGTATTTCCAGTCAAAATCTGCAACAAAAAATTTTTTTTTTAATTATTACACAATTTCCTACATGTACATCTGTCATTTAAGCAAGTTTTTTTGGTATATATGAAATTTTTTATTTAAGATGATAAATAAAACTCACATTTTATAAATATTAAATTTTCTTGTAAAAATATTTTTTTGTGGTGAATATTAAACAATTAAAAATCAACTATATTTATAAATCAACAATTTTCTTTTGATAATTCTTTTTTTTTTTTTTTGGAGATTGTACTAAGATTTTTAATTTAAATTCACTAATTTCGTGGTACACTTGACCAATTAATATATTACAATTAATTAAGGTTTTTAGTTGAGATAATAAAGTCAATGGCACAAGCGGGATTCGAACCCACGATCTTCGGCTAGATACGCCGCTGCTCTACCACTTGAGCTATCGTGACCTCGATCCACTCTGGCACTAACTTCCATCTCAACCCCACCTTTTGAATTTTCCCTCCTTTTTGCCATTTTTCAAATGTCGTGTAATCAAATTACTGAAAATTTGATGGTGCAATGTCAGGTGAGAATGGTTGGTGGCATACCCACATTCTAGCAAAGCTTCAAAAAGTTCTGGTGCTCCTTCAAAGAAACATGGATACAAGGGTTATCCTAATGGAAAACAAACCCCTTGAGATTAACCAGTTGTTGTTGGTTAATTGCTGACTTTTATCACAAATACTAGAATTAACAGTTTGGTTGGTTGGAAGAAGCACCACTTTCCAATCACACCAAATGTACAACAGTATCCACTTGGGACATATTCAAGCTTCTAGAGTTTTTAATATTGGGTCAATGTTTTCCCCACTTTTTTCTCCCTGAACAAATTTTAGGAGGGAATCGCAGATGGCGATTACACTAAATTTTTCTCAGTTAATATGTAGGAACAGATAATTGCCCCGACAAACAAACCCAGCTGTTCTCAGATATGTTGAAGCGCTTGTACCTCTAAAATGTCTTGTGTGGGTTATTTGTGAAAAAAGTTTGAATTTGATCATCGACGTTTGAAGGATTTTTGGTGCTTTTACCTAAAGTGTTTTTCCCAATCATCTGGGCAGTGGTTTACCCCTTGCTTTTATAAATAAACCATTAATAAAAAAATACACTGTTTTTTCTCTATTTTAAATTAGTAAATCACCTCATAAAAATATGAGATCCTCAACAAAACCGACAAATAAAAACACCACAACTGTATCGCTTTTCAGAGTGTGCAATTAAAAAAACATTATTTCAAAACACAAGAGGGATGGAATGGAATTATTGAAAAATGCTAAAAACTTATTTTACAACTCAAAAAAAGACAAGTAGTATAAAAAAGGTACCTGTAAAGACACGATCGGGTCCTCTAATAATCTGGCTCCTGTTCTTCACTCTAACACAAAGATGAATCATAAACAACATCATGACATTCATGATCATGCTTTGTGCAAGAAGAGGTAATTCGTATCTTTTCCCAAACCTACAAAATACGAGGTTCAATCCATAAAATGTAACGGAAAATAAGTTAATAAAAATTTACCAGAAAAGAATCCTCAGAGTGTTCGCTATGAGTAGAACGAGGCAGACGTATAGCGAAAAGCCTTCGGCGTCATTTTTCCTCTTGATTTCCCGGTATTGAGGAATGAATGGGGCCACACCACCGAATATCATAACCGTCGACGATATCCATGACACCACCTTTTGGAAGGTGATGTCGTGGAATTCCTCCAATATGTAATCCATAGGGTTGGCCCAGACTCCCTCTTTCAATAGAGTTCCATTCCATTCTGGAACATAACGGAAGATAATTTTAGAAAATTAAGTACAGTACAGAGAGGAGATTTTTTAAAATCGTTTCAGTACTAATATGTGCGAGCGATATTTGTTTTGAGTCAGTGCTCTGATAAACAGTACAATTAAACTGGAATATTACACAGGGAAAATAAATAAATCAATGATAAGGGGACATTATCTCTTTTATGCTGAGATTTGAAAACTAAGCGTGTCTTCATCATCCTTTTCTTAGTTTTGACCAATTTATTTTAATTATTATTTTCCCACATCCAGGAAACTATTACAAATAGTTTTTACTTGTCATTTAGCATGTACATCTTACTTTAAAACTTCAACCCTGGATTTTCGTTTTAATCTTCTTAAAGCAAAACAATAAAGTGAACAATAATTTAATATTAAAATATACTCAATTTATCATTTCAATAAAAAATCTATTATTTTGACAAATGTTCAACACATTAAATATTTCTTGTATTAACGTACAGATTTGCACATATTTTACTAACATAAGGACAAATTTCGACTTAAAAAATTTAGAATTGTTCTGTCGGCAATATTCAAGGATTCAAGGCTGTCAAAATGCTAATTAAAGAAATAATTATACTCCGTGGCTTACTTAACTGAACATCTATTAAAAATTAACATTTTATCTTGAGTTCTTTAAAACTGTTGAATGCTAATATTTTCTTTGGAGCAAGAGAAATATAAATACCTGTTATAATTGAAAAGCAACTTTATCAAGGAATGTTGAATTTTAGATTTTACTTTATATCATAAAAATAATATTGCAAAGTACCTTCAAGATGGTCCTTTGATCAACTAAGTCATTCATATGGTTATATTTGCTCGATGATTATTTATATTGGAATATCAAGCTTTTCCATTAAAATATACACATAACCATTAAATAATATACAAATTTTTAAAAAAGTGATAGAAATTTACCAAGACGAGTACTGCAACATGTTGTCCTGCACCTTGTTGCGTTCCCAATCATTTAATCTGGCCTCAAATCGTAGAAATGTGAACTGTTTGAAAATGCATGAAAATTGCTTAATTGAAATTTAATTACACCCACGACTAGAAAAACAAAACTCAAGGCCAAGACCACCCATATTCTTACTATTTAAAGGTCGAAATATAAAAAATTATGACAAATAATTGTAGATATTTTTTCAATTTTAAAGAGATGAAATGTATACAGCTTAAAGACAAACTCGAGTGAGGAATAATAACATAATCAACACTTGAAACAGCCATTTAATTCTTTGGTCAATTTTTGATTTAACAACATTCACGAACGATCTGATCAACTTTTATTTGAGAATAATTTCATAAAGAGTATTGTAAAGTAATGGCCTCTCATTGACCAAATAACAAGAAAAATTTGAAATAATTCCTACATATTCAGCCTAGTTTTCTTATTGTATATAGGTACTAATAATTAAAACTAAATATTACCTAATTTCTATAAGAATAAATACAAATGTAACAGACAAGCATGTTTTATTGTCATTTTGGTATTTTTATTGACAACCGATGGCTCCATGACATATATATAATTTATAAGAAGTTTAGATAAGTACATGCCCTCCGCTTTAGTACCAATTCAATAGGTATGAGGGATGCGATGAGTATAGCAGACACCAGTACACCAGCTGAATGTAAGATGGGCTGGTACAAAGACGCTTTTTTACTGATTTTTTTTTTTTTTTTTTTTAATAAAGAGATAACAAAATCCATTTTTTTATGATTAGTGCTTGCAATTAACGGAATAAGAAGAAAACAAGCAAACAATCTGTATAATTGGTTTCATTTGATCACTATTATTCCAGAAAGACCGATAGCATTGAAAGAAGTGGGAGAGAAGCAACACGGCAACAACAACAACAACAAAAATCTATCAAAATAAAATATGAGTGGACATACAATTAATTAAGGTTTTTAGTTGAGATAAAAAAGTCAATGGCACAAGCGGGATTCGAACCCACAATCTTCGGCTTGATACGCCGCTCTCTACCACTTGAGCTATCGTGACCTCGATCCACTCGGATGAATGAGTGGACAGTTGTCATCACAATTTGCAATCAACTCAAACCCATAAGCTTACTATATAAATCTGAAATACTAACAGATTAAAATTCTATGTTGAAAAATTATGCAATTTACTGGCATTTCAAACAAGTATTACAGCAAAATATTTAAAATTTATTTGTTGAAGAAAGAGAAGTGAGAAGAGTGAGGGAAGAAGAAGAGAGGGAAAGAATGCTAAATAAATCTCACAAGAGAATAAATTATCCTAGTATTTGAACCTAGTCAATTTTCTTTTGTAGTGTGACCTTCATTTCCCGATGTTGTAGAAGACTAAGCAAAAACAGTTGGAAGATCACACTAGATTAAAAAAGATTTAACGATTGTACACTCTGTAAATATATTTGCACATTTATGTAACTCAACGAGTGGCAGATGAAAAACAAACAGCAATTGTTTTACAGGTGAGTAGTGTATAACTAAAATGAATCAATTTCCATTCATTTGTAGCATTAAAAAAAATAAATTATAATCTTTCGAATAGGAATCGGCTTTCTTTTGAATTTAATTTAATTGCCTTTATTGCTATACAAGATTCTTGAATATGATTAAATACAAAAAAGATTTAATTAAATTACAACAGGTAGAACTAATATTCGTATATGTACTATCTAAATGAACGCATTCCACAAATATACAACAAAAAATAAAAATACACAGAGCAAAGTAATATCCCATTAGTCCATCATGAGCATAACAAAACTAATAAAATGCTTAGCTTTTTTAAAGCTCGAGCACATCTTAGTAAAAGTCATAATTTGTACATATTTACACCACAAATGGTAACTGAAGTAGTGAACATTTATAAGATTTCTTGATTTCAGTATTAGAAGTATCGACCACTTTTTCATTTACGAATACTCTTTACCAAAATATGGTCTTCTAAAGAAAGCAAATTCAGCTGCTCGTGCCGAGCTTTTGACCTACTTTAAAGTCGTCATCAGCGTAAAACAACCTTAAATATGTCTACAGATTGACATATTCAAGTTTTTACAGGCGATCTCAGATTTCCTTGAAGACAGACCCAGCCCCAATAATCATGAACACATAAGATTTATTACAACATTAATGGACTTAAAAGTTATAAATTCTACTTATCTAATCTTTATGAAAGAAAAAAAAGTGATTATAAAGAATAGTAAAAAAAGACTACATTCTGGCCAAGAAGTTTAGCTTTCAGAATTAATAAACATGTGGAAAAGTACACATATCGACAGCTGGCAGGTGCGACACAATGAATCAGTTCAATTAACAAACCATTAAGTAAAACAATAAGCCATTTAAGACCAAATAATGCAATTAATGGCTTCTATTTAAATAAAATAAATCTAGCGGACTCCCCTGTGAGTTTGTGAATACTGCAGAGATTTGGATATTACAGAGTACGTAATTATAGAATGTCAGCAATATAGCTAGGATAAGGAAACTCTGTTAAGGAAATGAGTAAACTGTTGGAACTTCCTTTTAACCCTTAATTCAAGAAATATACAGATTTATGTGTAATATTCAGTGTGAAATCCCCTGAGCCTTGAAAAAGCCCTTTAAGAGCTATTGTAGTGTAATTAAAAAANTATATATATATATAAGTATAATGAAAAATGGCAAAAAGGAGGGAAAATTCAAACGGTTGTAGATTGAGATAGGAAGTTGGTGTCCGAGTGGCTCAAAGTTACGACAGCTCAAGCGGTAGAGCAGCGGCGTATTTAGCTGAAGGTCGTGGGTTCGAATCCTGCTCATGGCACTAACTTTTTCATTTCAACCAAAACCTTACATAAAAAGATTAATTAATCAATATAAGTATAATTTTGAATAAGTTAATTTTCTTTAATATTTGTAAACTGGGGTGGGAGACCACAAGGTGCCTGGCAGGATGTAGACACCTCTCATGGGAGACCTACCCTAGTTACAATGTCATGATTGTTCCTGAGTCAAATTTTTCTTATATATAATATAATCTTCATGACAAAGAGATGTGTTAACAAAAAATAATAAAAAGACAGAGATCAACATCCTAACTTCAATAACCAATTTTTTAAGTCGAGAAGGCAATCATTTCCTTTTAAATGCTATGTGCTTTTTAGACAGCTGAAAAGTTACATTGAGATTTAGATAATTCTACTTGTATATTTGTAAACTTTAGTAACTCATATTCTGAAATACATTTAGTGTACTTACCTATGTACTAATGAATATTAGACTAGGTACAACACAGAGATAACTTTTCACCTACTTTGAATTGGCATTTGTTTCGCCGCTATCTCACTTGTCGCTCAAAAGATAGTGGTTTAGCTAAATACAACTCGACATTCCATTTTACTCACTTAGCAAATCAAAAGCCTAAGACTAAATTCTTACTAAAAACTAGATAAGTGTTGAAGTACACCAACACCAAAAAAAAATTAAGGCTATAAAACACAAAAATAATACAGTTTATGATACATTTACCCTTTGTAATGAACAAAAAATAAAAAAATGCACTGTTGTTTTTTAATCAAACTTAGCCTACCTACATGCAAATCAAAATCATCTAGTGTTATCTAATCTTTATGACAAAGAGATTAGTTAACGGAGAATGACAAAAAGGTAGAAATTAACACCTAACTCGCTGTGATACAATTACACACTGACAAAAAATTTGTTAAGAAAGAATAATGAAAAAATATAAGTTAAGTCTAACTTACAAATAAATGTTTAAGCCCTTTCCTTACAAGAAAATTAATTGATAAAGATCATTGACAATTTTTTTTAATGCAAATTTTTCTCGAGCTGCAACCATACCTAGTTGGTGCATGCAAATGAAAATCAACAGCATATAAGATGTATTCGAATATTTATGGACAAATAGGAAGTTAGAAATGTGCTAGTATTACCTAACCTTTATGAGATGTGCTAACGAAGAATAACAAAAAGACAGAAGTTAACCGAGTAACTTGCTTGAACACTTTTTAAGCCACCCCCTCCCCAAAAAAAATAAAAAAACCATGAAGACTGTATGACATAAGAATATGCATTCTATGATACATTTATGCTTTATGATGAAAGGCCAAATAAAACGATGCATACTATATTTTTATTTATCAAAATTTTCTGTTGAACTACAGCATTCTTGCCTTGCAAATAAAAATCAACATATAGGAAGTTATAAATTTGCTAGTGTTTATCTAATTTTTATGATGAATAGATGTGTTTACATAGGACACAAGAACATAGGATACAATAGGACACACAGGGGGGTTGTCCTCGCCAGGCGCTTTCCAGTACCTGAGGATAACGCCATGTGCACCTTGTTTCTCTTTATAGAAAAATGTATGGGGAGTTTGAAATTTTTCATTAGAGACCTGTAACACACGGACCATCTCCGGAAAGCTGTAGATTTTTGAACAGTGCAGTCCACCGTACCAGATCTGTGCACTTTTTGTGCCAATTTTTATTTTATTTTTTTTTTTTTAAGTGCAAGAAATTTAATTTATTTTGGTGTCAGGGATTTTGTGATTGTGCAAACGTAGAACTTGACTTTAGAATTGTTTTGTAACTATTTAAATGTATTTATTGACGTAAAACTTTGTTGATAAGATGTTAATTTTTTCTCCAATGGTAATCAAAAACTTTTCGTACATAGTGTGTAGGAACATACAAATTGAAAATTAATTCTGTACTCTCAACTATCCTGCTATTTAGTTTATAATAAATTTATTGAAATGTTAAAAAAAATGCAATCTGTAATTTTTTCAAAAAGCGAGGAAAGAGAAAAATGCCCAATATGACCTGCCAATTATATATAAGTAATTATTTCATAGATTTATTATTTTTTAGTTTTATGTTATTTTAGACTTGTTGTAGGCTAAGTTTTACGGTTAACAAATTATTGTCAAGAAAAAAAGTAATTAGGTACATAGGTATAGGCAGTTTTTTTTTTTTTTAATTTGTGTAATTAATTATTTATTTATAGTTAATTTTTAAGTTAATCCTACACTACAAATCTCTATAAGAATAGAATTTTAACTTGTACTCTCCTTTAAAAGCACCATGTATTATGTATGAAATATCAAATGTAATATACAGGTTTAGCTGTTTAGACTGCAACCCTTATTATATTGGCCAAAGAAAACAATGGTTATATTTATGCACCCAATTACACAGTTTGGATTGCAATAACATGGATAGGACTGCAACCACATTATACAAACACTGTTATGAACAAAAACACCAATTCGACTTGGAAAGGCCCAAGATATTAGAGAGAGAGAAAAAAAGAAAACAGAACAAAATTAAATTAAGCATTACACATCAAATTGACATCAAACACCTGAAATACACAGACAGAAAGTATAAAAACAAGTGAAATTTATGGAGGGTTGATTTGGCTTGAGAAACACACAAAGATAAACATGAGAGCCCCTCCACAATTGACATAACGACTCATATTTGTATAACGTATTAATAATTTATTAAATGTTACTATACTATACAATTGAAAATGATGTTAATATTTTAGGTTCAGCTTATATATTCATATAATTAAATAACGATCAACATGTAATGGTTGGAACAGTCACCTATCAAGAAATAACTGGCTCTGCAGATATCCACATAGTGGTAAATTTTGTTGATTTTTAAAAATCTTTATTAGTGGATAAACTTGTGCTATTAGTTTTTAAGAATTTGTAAGTTATGTATCTCATGATCTTTACTCCTAATACCTGAGTTTAATTTATTAATATTTAAATATATGTTACCCATATATCAATTATCGAGTAAGAGATCAAATCTATTAGGCTGTGATAACTTTTAAAATTATAATAATGTGACATAAATGTACAAATGCATAAATGATACACACATTAATGCACCACCATTAAATTTTAATGTATTTACATTTATTCATATTTTGCACACCAAAAATACGATTGATTGTAAAAATAAGGCATTTAAAAAGAAAATGTTTGTTACCTAATATTAAAAAACAATTATTGAGTAAAGAAAAAAATTCAAAAACAAATAATAAAAATGTAAAAAAACTTTTTTGTCCTCTTTAATACGAAGTATATCATCCGCCTCTGCTATGAATCACTCCGTTAAACGCATTTTCAACCCTTGGAAAATATTTCTGATAAAATCGTGAGGAATTCTTTCCCATTCATCAAGAACAGCCTTTTCCAACTCTTCTAAGGTGTTAGGACTTTTGATTCAACGTCGCACTCGTTGCTTAAGTTGATCCAAAAAGTGTTCGATTGGGTTCAAATCTGAACTTCAAGCTGGCCTCACTAAGGCTCAACTCCAACCTCATTCAGGTATACAACCACAATACATGCTCTAAGGGTCCTGGCAGTAGCAGGGATCTCCCACTGATGGGGGGGGATGGCACTACATGTTCTTTGGTTATGTCTTGTAAGTAACTCTTTAAGTTTAGATCTTCCTCACACATCCAATTCAGTGCGGGCATCTAAGAAAATGCCATCTCGGAACACAATGTCCAACTGTGGAATGGCATCTGAGGGACCATACAACATGGGGTGTACCTTTCTCCTTAGTGTCTCTGCATGAAATTACACCTATCTGAAGATTTGAGGCCAACTCTCAAGTTATCTGTAAAGATAAATCGTCCTCAATCTTCAAATGTCCAATTCATACGAACTGAGGTCCACGAGCCGAGTGGCGGACTAAGAAGTTATTTTCATTGTGCCTTCTTCTTTACAATGCTAACATTTCGGACTTATCTTATCAGATTTCTTATCTAATTTCCTGTACTGATGCGATTTCATAGAGCTTGATGGCGGATAAATGTATCTTCTCTCTCGTCAGTAGACCTAGGTCGACCTTGCCCTGGCCTTTTGGTTTGAAGCCCTGTTTCACTGAACTGCTGAAAACCCTTCCTATTGTAAAGAGATTTACATTCAGTCTCCTGGTGGCATTCTGCTAGCCTTATACTTTATCTAATAATGTTATCCTAATTATAAGTAACTAATGCAGAAAGATGGTGGATTTAATTTTAAACCGCATAAATTGAATGGTGCGTTAAATTTGTTCATCAGTGTATTTATAGTTAAATTTATTAGTATGTTTTTACATTAAATGCGTTTTTAAAAGATCAATTTATTTTTTTAATCTGCTCCCAAAATCAACAAAAATAAGAAGAAATACATCTTGTTTGGGTTTGCCTATGCTGCTCTACTGGTTGACTGAGTACGACCACAAATGTGTACAAAATTTAGGAGCCATTTTTCCACGAAATTCTTAGTAATATTTTTAAAATTATTTGCAGATCGTGAGATGTGGTCTGGTGTGAGGTAGGTTTTAGAAAAACATTGTCTTTATTGAGATCATCTCCAGGGCTCATGACACATCTACACGGAAAACAAACACTTTGAGCACTGAAGATGATCTCAACAAAGATCGAAATGTTAGCACGATAAAGAAAATGTTTTTCTAAAACCTACGTCACACCAGACCGCATCTCACTTAACACACACATTTTTTTAAATATTTTTCCTGGGTACCCAGACCCATAAATGACCTCATTAAGATACAAGAATTTTTGTTATACATTCCATCTGCAAATTATGCAGGGCTGCTTTTATTTTTTTTATATTGAATCAAATTAATTGCCATTTTATGACGAGCATATATTTAAATTGAAGTCATGAACGTATGTATATGAAGTAAAAATCCTGACTTTCACTGTGCAACAATATTTATGAGAGACACGTGAACGATTGTGCGGTATAGTTTAAATTGTGATTATTAATTTTTAATTGTGTTAAAAAGAAGTGGCATTAAAGAAAACTTGTTAACTGATGAAGTACTTTTTACTGAAGGGCCACTCTTGTGAAACGTTATACTGGGGTAAGGGCGATTTTTTTTTTTCGTTTAAATAGGAAATTCTAAAATAAAAATTCCTCGAATTTTTTCTTCCCTCAAGACTGGTTGAGATGGATCGTAGGTAATTATCGGGAGCTTTTGAAACAGGGTTTTAATACAGATTTCTGATTGACCTTTAACCGAGGCGTTTTGCGAAATGTCAATATTAAAAATACCAGACTCGAGTGAAAGAGCGGCGAGTTAAAAACCAATCAAGGCTTGAGGAAAACGTTAAATCTGGCCGAAAATTAAAAAATATGTATATCAAGGGGAAAACATTTTATCGGAGACAATCCACATTTTTTTTGGAATACATTAGTTGACTTGAAAGAACGTCAATGGTACTCACACTCTCGTGAATTGTCCTGGAGGAAGAGACGACGAATTTGCCCATGAGTAATAAATAACTAAATATTGAAACTAGAGTACTTCCGTGCGTGGAACCTCCAGATGAAGCAACGCTGGGAAAGGTTATAGAAGACTGGAGGCGAAAATGCCAGCGGGGCCGATCCGCGTCGACCCTGGTGGGAGTGCTGCTCGACGGGACAAATTCATATTTACAAATTATCCCTGAAGGGTTTTCTTGAATTTATTTCCCCCGGGACATTCGTCGATTGGCTGATGAAAAGACAAGCGGTGCAAGACGGGCCCAAGCCGACCTCGCTCCCAGATGATACGAACCCGCAGGGATCACGGATATGGATGAAGATGTGCACCAACCAGATGTGCACATCAAGGTATGGACAAGCTTGACCGACAGTTAATTCAAGATGTGGTTCAAACTGTTTTTCCATAAGATTTTTTACATATAGATGAAGATGTATCATTCGGGGTGTGTAGTACACTGCGCCCTTTTGAGAGTTGTATCACCTGTCCTATGCTTACAGCAAGCCGGTGAGTCCTAGTTCATCAAAGGTTATTAGGCAGGGTTTCAGTGGTTGAATATCTTCTACGGTTGCATTATACATCTCAAAACACCTGCGTGCAAATGTAGCACAAGAGTATGTAGTATGTTAGTATGCGTGTTGGTGTTTTCTCTGCTTCTTTGCAGAATCTGTACTTGCGGTGTTGGGTTATGCCAATCTTCTTTAGATACCCATTTATCCTGTTAAGGATCCTGTTAGGGTTCGCAGTTTTTAACTGCTTCCTTTAAAGCATTTTCTTACCTCTTTCCTTCCAGAGTTTGCTACAACGTTCTTGGATTGTTTGTGTCCAACGAGTGACTTCCGTGGTAACCTCATTTTCTTGGTCTCCTTTTGTCTATGGTACTCATTGATAGTATGGATTCCTAGGCCATAGAAGGGCACGGGTCCTATCAGCTGTATAGTAGCTTTCTTGGACTCAGCAGAGGGTGACTGTTTTGATACTTACTTTTAGTTTAGTTTTGCGTTTCAGCACTATATTTGAACTAATGGTGATTGAGCTTAGCTCTTTCACGGCTGCTTGGTTATCTGAAACGAGAGCAATTTTCTTGTTTATGTACCCTTTATTTAGGTTGAATTGGCTACATCTCTCCATTGCGTTGACATAAGCCTGGAAGACACTGTGGTATTTTCCCATGGGTTCTGAGTATTTGGTTCCAGGATCAAATACTCCTGCCCCCGTACCTTGCCTATGTGATGCTTTATTCTTGTTTTTGTTCTCATCGTTCAGATTGAACTGGGTACATCTATCGATTGCATGAACCTGAGCACGGTGGATACTGTTGTATTGTCCCATGGGTTCTGAGTATTTGGTCCTGGAAATTTTCCTTAAACTCGAAATCCTGGCAAAATAAAACTCTATCAGTCAATCTTGTTCGTGTCGTCCTTGGAGCCATGTGTATCGGACAGAAATAGTAAAGTGGGGTGTGTATGTAGAATCACTCTTTGTAAATGATGGTTGTACTAACAGAATTTGTAGTTTTCACTCTTACAATTCATGTCGAGCGATGGGTTTGTAACTCCTACAACCTGATGATGAGCGCTTAATGTTCGAAATCCGGATAGTTGTAAACTATAAATCTGTGAGTAAAACCATCATTAAGAAAAAGTGAATAGGTATTGGATTTCCTTTGTTAGGCTGTTGCTACCTCTCCATTTTAGTTTTAGTTCTGTTGAAGGTTTCTCTTTCATATGTTGATCATAGTTTTCTGTCAGTTCCTTATTATCATGTTGTTGTATGTACAATGTCATGGTGCAGGTAGATGCAACTCAGCGTTGATAATCAGTATGTAGCTATCGACCGGAAGTTGTTAATCCTAGATGTGGATCATGGAGATGTCCCATGACTGAAGTTGGTGGTTTTGGTTTCGTCTAATTTGATTGTCCAATCTTCCTCCTTGAGTCAGGATTCAAGAGGACGCAGGTAATTTTTGTAGATTATGGGAAGCCATGATGGGCTGTTTAACAGAGGAAAGGAATGTAATATCATTGGCGAAGGTAATGACAGATCGGATGTAAGTGAGTAAAAGCAGGGGAACAAAGACGCTGCCTTACGGGACACCTGCTGCATATGATAGATATTGATGTTGTGTGGAATATTTGGAACTAACGATAGGTAAGATAGGATCTTAGGATAACTAGGATGTGCTTGAACTTCTTCTGCAAGTTACTTCGTCTTGTGCCATTTCCGGTCAAAGACTTGGTATGTACCTCAAATTATGTAATGTATATACCTTACCAGCCCTGAACGCAAATAATTTTTCCATCCTACTTAATGTTTTTCGAATTGAAATGAATGTATGAAATGAAATGAAAATATCGGATTTAATTTAAAACCTCTCGAGCGAAACATTTTATTGTCCGATTTAAATTACATTATTAATTTTAATTTATAACGAAGCGTTTTCCTCGGTTACTTTTATTTCAAATTAAATTACAAATAAAAATGCCATTAATGGAAATACTTGAACGACTTTCTAAATGTCATTTTTGGATGACTAAGAAATACTTGTTATGTGTCAATATGTTTTAATTGAATTATCTTGTCAGCAGAGTTGTCCAAACTCGCTTATAACATTTTTCTTTGTTCGGAACATAATCTGAGTTTATCTTTACTATAAACTAATAAAAAAACTTTAAATGAACATGGAAAGTTGAAAAGTTGAAATTAAATACTAATCATTTCTCTGAGTCAATGGGCCGGGTAGACGTATGGGTCTGGCATAAAAACTGCTCGAAGAATGCTTCCAGCTCCGATGCAACGCTATGAGACGCTACCCGACGCCTTGCCACGTTTTGGTAGGGTGTGCACATCTATGCGACGTCACGTGCAGTCCACATAGCGAGTATCACAATCGCAACGCCTCTTTTGTTCTTAATGCATGATTTTGGTTGAAATGAAAAAGCTAGTGTCACAAGCGGGATTCGAACCCACGACCTTCGGCTTGATACGCCTCAACTCTACCACTTGAGCTATCGTGACTTCGATCCCCTCGGGCACTAACTTCCCCTCTCTACCCCACCTTTTGAATTTTCCCTCCTTTTTGCCATTTTTCAATGCAAGGCAAAAGGGAGGAAAAATTCGAAAGGTTGTACGTTGAAGAGGGAAGTTAGTGCCCGAGGGGATCGAAGTCAAGATAGCTCAAGTGGTAGAGCAGCGGCGTATTTAGCTGAAGGTCGTGGGTTCGAATCCCACTCATGGCACTAACTTTTTCATTTCAACCAAAACTTTAATTAATTTAATGCATTACTTTGAGCAAAACAAAGTAATAAATTGTTAGATAAATTTAATTGTTTTAAATAAATTTATTCCGGTGTTTCGATAAATTTTCTGTCTAAGGCCGCTGGGTTCGAACCCAGGACCGTACAACGATAACTGTGTCAAAACCTAAACTGTTTCCGACTCCGACGCCCCAACTATTTAATATTTTTAGCAAGATTAATTTATGATTGATTAATCTATTTGTATGAGATCACGATTCTTTGCTGAGTTGGCAGAAATGTCAGCTTCCTCACCTTCCATTTCCTCATACATGGAAATGATGTCATATTTACAAATAAAGAAACATTATCGATTAATGATTTAATGATAGGCCACGTTCTCTCAAGAAAAAAAAATTTGTAATGTGTAAGTAAATAACCCAACGTGCGCATATTAATTTTTTAATTTGATATGAACTTTACCTTTATTATATTAAATTAAAGAAAAACATCGACAGGAGCCATTTTTTAATATGGAGAACAGAATTATTTTAACTTACAGGAATTTCTTCTTTTTCTGTCTTAAGACGTACAGTTTGTACAAGCTGAATTTCAAAAAGTGAATACGCCAAGTTTGTTTATTTACATAAAACACGATCTACTATTACCACTATCACCGACTATTACCAGGAACATTGTATGTACTTCTGCGACGAAATGAAATGCTTTACGCTAAATATAAAATAATTATTCCTTTAAACATAACTTAAAGTTGATGTTTACATGTCTGCGAAGTTCTCAAATGAGAAACCGTCAAAAGTGTTAGTTCTTCACTGAAGATAGCGTGAAGCAAGAAAAGACGTACTGAGTAATCAGTTATCGGTTAAACAATAAAAGAAATGTGAATTTATAATGCAATCATATTTCCAATCGCTGCAAATGGGTTATAAAATATTTTCGTTTTAACAGAATTGTTAAACAACAACAAAAAAAGGAAACAAGCAGTTGCGTCACGCACAAACATCACGGGAAATACATTTATTTATTCTTCTATTCAGGCGAGATAGGTCCGCTGTGGCAATCTGCTTTTTCAACGTTGAAAATGAGAGATAATGAGGAGAGAGATAGAGAGAAAGTGAGAGAGAAGATAATTAATTGCACAGCAATACATCAAAAACATAGACAAAACCAAACAGGCACATACACCCACAAAAACCAAGATAGGAAATTAGTCTATTCGTTGTACAGTTTATTCGGAGAAGTCATAAAAATAATCAACAATACGATAATTAATCAATATGCATTATATAAATAAAACGTATAGTGTATTAAAGCACACTGACATACTGACGCACATGTCCACATATGCAAAAAAATAATATAAAAATAAGAGGAAAAGAAAGATAAATAGATTGATATATAAANAGAGAGAGAGACAGAGAGACAGAGAGAGAGACAGAGAGAGAGTGTGAGAGAGAGTGAGAGTGAGAGAGAAACAGAGAGAGAGTGGGGGAGAGAGAGAGAGTGTGAGAGGGAGAGAGAGTGAGACAGACAAAGTGAGAGAGAGAGAGAAACAGAGAGAGAGAGAGAGAGAGAGAGAGAGAGGGAGAGAGAGAGAGGGAGAGTGAGTGAGACAGACTGAGTGAAACAGAGAGAGAAAGAATGAAAGGGAAGGATTGAGAAAGAGAGGGAGACAGTCAGAATCAGGATTTTGTGAGTCACCAAATAATATTTTTTGCCCTTCGTGACACCCATTATATTTTGCTCGTCATTTATCTGTGTAATGACCAATCATTAATCCATGAATAGCAATCTCTTTATTTATAACTTGCTATCCACGAC